TAGGGTGAAAGAATACTTATAACCCTGGCTCACACTTTTCCAGATTTTAAACTATGCAAATGCTAATCAAAACAAATCTATAGGAACTATATTAATATCTGACAATGGAGACTTCACAGTAAGGTATCAATGCATCAAGAGGACATAACAATCTTAAATACTATGCATGTAACAACAAAGCTACAATATACATAAAACCAACATTAATGGTAAAAGATGGCCTCTGTGTACTGCCCTAGTTTGTCTATTTCTTCTCTGCAAGCTACACGCACCAAACTCAGATTGGTACAAATCCAGCTGTTTCCAAAGTGGTCCCAATCAGCATATTTTAGACACTTAGAGCCTGCCTGGTTTATACAGCCCACAAACCGCACGTAACATCTGGTAACCACAGATACAAAGCCGTCTTTGGAGTTCACTAACACAGAGCCTCCCCACCTTACCAAAGTCCCCTCTGTGGGATTTTCATGTCTTCTCCTGGTGGCTTCCTAAGTTGCTTGACCCTGTCATAGTTTCTGCTTTGAGGACCAACCCCTGAATACAGTTGACAAAGCTTTGGTTCCAATGAGTAAACTGATTATGCAAAGTTGCTCTCTCGTGGGTAGATGCTATTTCTTATCAGTCTTACATTTCTGGAAACTCCTTGCCCTTCAGTCGAATTTCGACTCATAGTGGCCCTGTAGCAGATTAGAACTGACCCACAGGGTTGTTGTTGTTGTTAGGTGCCGTGGAGTCGGTTCCGACTCATAGTGACTCTGTACAGGGTTTCCGAGGCTGTAAATCTTTATGGGAGCAGAAAGCCTCATCTTTCTCCTGCAGAATGGCTGCTGGTTTTGAACTGCCGACCTTGAGGTTAGCAGCCCGATTCGTAATCACCATGCTACCAGAGCTCACAGGGTTACAAGGCTGTAAATGTTTATGGAAGCAGACTGCCACATCTGTTCTCCAGTGGAACTGCTGGAAGGTTTGAACCGACAACCTTTTAGTAAACAGCCAAGTGTTGAATAACTGTTCGGCCAGGCCTCCTTTAAAACTCACTACACACCCTGTATCCAAGTTTCAAAATACACAAAGCACGCGCTAACAGAAGGGAAGAGAAAAATATACAAATTTATCACAGTTCAAGATTTCTATAGCCTCCACTAAGTCACTGATAGAAAAAGTAGACCAAAAATCAGTAGGAACACAGAAGACAGAAACCGTATCGATCAAACTGACCCAGTTGACATTTATAGAACACTCAGCCCCAAACTAGAGAAAGAGAAAGAGACAAAAACATGCTTCTTATGTTTGTTTGTATCCAAGTGATACATACAAAGAGTTCAAAGTGTAAAACAGTTCTGCAAATTTTGCTACAAAATGCAAACAATCCCTGCCATTTTATCCCTCATTTAGCTCTCTCCATCCACTCATCTTTTAAGGTTGTAATTTCGGCATTTAACGCTTCATATTAAATGGAGTCCTGGCGTGGCACTGTAGCGCAGCACTGGACTGCTAACCTCAAGGTTGATGATGAAAAACCCACAAGCCGCTCCTTGGAAAACCCTGCACAGGGTCTCTATGAGCAAAAACCGACCAGACGGCACTTAACAACAGTAATGCACATTCTCTTCTAGTGAATGCAGAATGCTGATCAGAATGGTGAATATTTTTTGGCCTTCAATAAAGTCTCAATACACATAAATGGACTTAAAAGGATTTGAATCATACAAACCCAGACTAGACACCACCAGCAGGAACCTGCACAGCCAATCAGAGCATCCACAAACAAGAACAGAAAGATGTTAGAAGGCTCGCCAGATACTTCACAGTTCGATCACACACTTTTAAAAACCCAGGGTGGAGTCCTCGTACAGCGCTGTTTTCAATGAGGAGCACTGCACTGAAAACCACAAGGTCAGTGGTTCAAAATCCACCAGCCGCTCCTTGGAAACCTTACCCAGTTTTACTATGAGTTAGAACTGACTCGATGTTACTTAACAACAACAAATAACCCAAGAGTGAAAGCAAAAATCACACTTGATGAATATTCTGAACTGAATGAAAATAATATTTAATGTATCAAAAATCATAGGATGCTGCCGCTGCTGCTGCTGTTGTTGTTGTTGTTGTTAGGTGCCCTCGAGCTGGTACCTACGCACAGCAATCTTATGCACAAAATAACGAAACACACTGCTCATTCCTGCGCCAACCTCACCACCGTTACTATGCTATAACCCATTGCTGCTGCCACTACGTCAATCCATCTCGCTGGGGGTCTTTGTCTTTTTCACTGACCCTCCACTTTACTAAGCATGATGTCCTTCTCCAGGGACTGGCTCCTCCTGATAACATGTCCAAAGTATGAGACACCAAGTCTGGCCATCCTGGCTTCTAAGGAGCACTCTGGCTGTACTTCTTCCAACACAGATTGGTTTGTTCTTTTGGTAGTCCATGGTACTTTTAATATTCTCCTTCAATTCTATAACTCAAATGCATCAATTCTTCTATGGTCTTCTTTATTCACTGTCCAGCTTTCACATGCATATGAGGTTACTGAAAATACCAAGGCTTGGGTCAAGTGCACCTTAGTCCTCAAACTGACATCTTTGCTCTTAAGCCCATTAAAGAGGTCTTATGCAGCTGATTTGTCTAATGCAAAGTGTTGCTGAATTTCTTGACTGCTACTTCCTTTAGTGTTGATGGATGATCTGAGCGAAATGAAGTCTTTGACAACTTCAAACTTTTCTCCATTAATACGGATGATATTTATTGGTCCAGTGGTGAGGATTTTTATTGTTTTTACATTAAGGTGCAACCTATACCAAAGGCTGCGCTCTTGGATCTTCATCAGTAAGTATTTTAAGTCCTCTTCACTTTCAGCAAGCAAGGTTGTATCATCTGCGTATCACAAGTTGTTAATGGGTCTTCCTCCAATCCTGATGCCACGTTTTTCTCATATAATGCAGCTTCTTACAATATTTGCTCAGCATGCAGGTTGAATAAGTATGGTGAAAGCTTGGCACACTCCTTTCCTGGAAAACCCTGTGGAGCGCAGCTGGACTTCAATCCCACAGGGGGCTCTCCATGAGTCAGGGTGGACCGGGCAACAGTGAGTTTGCTTTTGGTTTGGATGAAAGATGGGGTTGGAGAGGGCACCAGGCTGCTCGTGAGAGCCCCAGGGGGTTGTGAGTGTATTCTCAAGACTACGAGGGAGTCCTGGGTGAGAAGACATCTACTCGTGACTCAAGAAAGAGTCTGGCACAAACATGGCAGTGACCATGGACTCAGGAGTGGACACAGGTTCTCTGGGGGAACACAGAAGAAGAGAACCAGAAAGAGCTAGAAAAGTGAGGGTGGGTGAAGAATGGGTACTATCTTCAGGGAGCTCTGGTAGCATAGTGTTTACAAGTCGGGCGGCTAACCTCAAGGTCAGCAGTTCGAAACTATCAGCTGTTTCATGGGAGAAAGATGAGGCTTTCTGCTCCTGTAAACCTCGGAAACCTTCAGGGTCACTATGAGTCGGAATCGACTCCATGACTCATTAACCACCACCACGGTCAGAGCAAGAATGCTGAAGGTACAACAGCTAAGCACTCAGCTAGGAACTGCTAACTGAAAGGTCAGCAGTTCAAACCCACTAGTCTCCCCTCGGAAACCCTATACAGGGCACCATGAGTCAGAATCAACTCAACTGCACTTAACAGCTAACTGAAAGAGAGGTTGGTGGTTCAAACCCACCAAGTGGCTCTGCAGGAGAAAGACCTAGAGATCTGTTCCCATAAAGATGACAACCTAGCGGGCCTTAAGAAGCAGTTCGATGCTGTCACATGGGGTCACTATGAGTTAAAATGGGCCTGGCAGCACCTATCAAGAAAGGACAGCAGTGGCTCCGGGGAATGATTCCCGCCTTCCATGCAGGAGTCCCAGGTTCGATTTCCAACCAGTGAGCCTCAGAACAGTCCTGTCCCATCTGTCAGGGGTGTCGGTGAGGCTTCCAGACAACAGTGGACTCCCAAGAAAGGCCTGGGGATCTGCTTCTGAAAATCAGCCCCTGAAAACCCCATGATGACAGGGGGAGGGTTCAGGACCAGGTAGCACTTTGTTCCACTGTGCACGGGGCCACTCATGATGCGTTAGGGGCCCGTTCAACATGAGTGCGCTACAAAACCAAGTTGTGAAAAAACAAAACAAAACAAGTTGGCATTCTAGACTCACGGAAAGAGAAAGGCTGTGTGCTGGCGGCCGGGAGGCAGGCTTGCAGAATGGACCCTGTGGTTGTTTGTTGTTGTTGTTGTTAAGTACCGGTCGAGTTGATTCCGACCCATAGCGACCCTGTACAGGGTTTCCAAGGCTGTAAATCTTGACGGGAATATAAAGCCTCATCTTTCTCCCGTGAAGCAGCTGGTAGTTTCGAACTGCTGACCTTAAGGTTCGCAGCCCGATTCGCAACCACTGTGCTTTAAATGTATATACATTCTTGAGTGTTTCTGTGTACGTCCATACAAAATCAGTAACAAAAACACAGAGGGAATAGAAGCAAATATTGTTGAATGATGATGTTTGTAACCATCACAATGAAACGAAATACGATAGGATGAGTTTAAAACTGATGTTCTCACATGTAAACGATCACTCAGTTCACAATAAAAACTTAAAAAAAAAAACCTGATGATGAAAATGAAGATAAGTTTCTCCTCCGTTTTCACCACCACTTGTTAAACCATCAAGATTAGGGAAGCCATAGGACAGTGAGAAGTATTTTTAAATTTCTTATAAATCCCTCAATAAGAATTACAAATGAACAACCCCTTAAGGAAATATATATATATATATATAGGCAGAGAGAGGTATCTATATCTCATATAAAATATTGATTTTTATATAAATTCACTAATATCAAAGATCATTAAAAACAAAACCAACCCGAGTTGCACGCTGAGTGACTGGGTGTGAGCGTGCCTCGTGGGATGTGGCCCAGCACCTGTGTGGACGACCCACCGACGAGGCGGGATACTGACCTTCTCTGTCAGGCACTCGGGGCCCTGCTGTTCAAGGATGTGGATTTTATCTTCCAGGCACTTCTTCAAAAGGTCAGCCTTGCTTCTGCCCTTGACGCGCTGCTTTCTCCCTTTGGGCTGTGGCTGGTGGATGGGGAAAGAGGACACATGGGACCACCAGCAGGCTTACAAGCCCCCTGGGCCCCAGCTCCATTCGAGAGACAGTTCTGCAGCTCACAGGGATGCCTGCCACCCTATAGTAACGTCATCATAGACTAGGATAAGCCCCAAGGACACCTGCCATTGTATAATAATACTATAATAGAGGAACATAATCTGACGCACAAAAGAACAAAGTGTAACACAACCTGACAACTAGCATGAGCATCACAACAGGTGACAAAACACTACAGGAAGAAAACAAGCATACACACCAATCGTTCAGACATTCCAATCTGTGTGGGGTCTCCAGCTCCCAAATTCAAATGTCTCATTTGGTGGAAGGGGTTATGAAGAGACAGGGGTAGTTCCGTTGTAGGAATCTAGCCTTTTAATTAGGAGACCCTGGTTCGATTCCAACCAGTGCACTTCAGCACAGCTACCTGATAAAGAGGACTAGGAAGAAAGACCTGGAGATCCACTTATGAAAGCCCCAGCTGCAACCATTAACAACAAATGTTCCATTTGACAGAGGAGAAGACTGAGGCTGGAATCTGAGCTGACTCACAGCCAACAAGTCCACCCAGGGGACTGTAGAGGGAATGGGATGGGATGTACTCAGGGGCAGTGGGGGGTGAGAGGCCAGATCCTGCAGAGGTGGGGAGGGCAGCAGCTGGGAGTGGTCCCACCTCTGTAGTCCAAGGGCAGCCCACTTTCCCCTACCTGCAGCTCGGGAGCAGCCAGGGCCTGGTCCAGTTTCAGGGACTCTGCTTCTCGCCATGTGCTCTGGCATTGCTGCAGCAGCACCCGGGCCCGGATTCTGGGGAGGGCCAAGTTCTGGTCCAACTGCGTGAAGGAGCCCTGAGCTTCCTTCTTCATCCCAAGCAGCTCCTCCTGGGACAGGGAGCCGGCCGCAGAGCAGAGCTTCCTGGGAGAAGGGGGACAGTCACACACACTGGTCAAGTGAATGAAGACGGGGTGTTGGGAGCCACAGGGGGCCGGAAACTCAGAGTCTGAGGAGTTAAATCCATGTTGGGAACCAAGAGCAATGGCCTTAATCATCCCTGCCCATCCCCAAGTCTGCCTGTCTGGCTCTTAAACGTTGTAATGTGAAATGGGTGAAGGTTTATAGAGCAGATCAGCTCTCTGTTCAACAACTGACACACATTTGGTTTCATCTCGTTGACTGCAGTTCTCACAATGTAACATCTCTCACTTCCTTCTTCCCTGTGTTTCCTGTTTCCATTCATCCTTCCTTCCCAACACTGCTGAACTTGGTCCTTGTGTACATGCTGCCCTTTGACTGCAAATGGCTGACCATTCTAAGACATATGTGCCTCACTGGGGTTACTGTTCCCTTACAGACCTGTAGATCGCTTGCCTAAAAACTGAACCACGGTCAAGGGAGACGAGCACAAGCAGAGGGCAGGACCCCATCCAGAGAAGCAGCGACACCAGAGATGGAGGCAGAGATGAAGACATGGAGGGAGGGAGCAGCTGAGGACTCTAGACTCATGGGAAGAGAGGGACTGAGAGTTGGTGACCAGGAAGCAGACTTGTAGAATGTGCCCTTTGGTGGTGTAAATTATTATATATGCCTGAGTGTTTAAAAATCAGAAAAAAAAAAAAAAAAAA